GGTGGTTAGGTTGAGAACAAAGATCTGGAATAAAAGTAGTCAGTGTTTATACGTTTAAGATCAGGGCTTAATGGTCTGTAAATGAATGACACTGGTTAGGGAACGTGGGAGAGTTTGAGGCTAGTAGCAAATAACACATTATTTTTCTTTGTGCTTTCTCTTTGCCTCACTCAGTTTACAATGAAATTTAGCCACTGACTCCCACCACTTTTTCTTGGAGAGCAGAATAGGATGAAGAAACACAGCAATTAAATGTAAAAGACACCCATGCATTGCAATAGGAACTGGATTCCATGTGTTTTGGTAACAGGAACTATAGGAAAAAATAAAAAGAGGTGACTCAGGTCTACCTAATCTTTAAAGTCTGAAGCCATTCCCCATTCCGACGATCTCTGCTTCCTTCCCCACCTCTGCCCCACATACAAAAATTGACCTTGTTAGTAGAACAGGAATTTTTTTAAGCTCTTTTAGTTCCAATTGGTAATGCTGTTGCCATGACACTCACATCATTTAAAGTTTGTTATGCTCCCATGTGTTGAACACATGGCTAGCAGCTCTTCCAACCATCAGGATCCATGTAATCACAGCAAAGCAGTTAGCATCATAAATAAAGCAAACATGAACTGATACCACATACTTCCTTCTCATGGTGAATTAGGATGATGAACTGGAATTCAATGCCACTCTTCACCTAACAGCAAAAGGCTTGAGTATGGTAGACCTGGACCATGTATGTACCTGGGAAATAATTCATTTAACCCTTTCATTGTCTTCTATTTGGAAATCTTGGCTTAGGACCCAGTCCTGTGCCAATCAGCCACGTTTGTGGTTCAGGGGGCCCTTCATGGTGGCAATTGCACCCTCTTCTTCTACGTTTCCTTTTAGTTTTTATTTAGTTTGCATCTAAGTAGGTCATCGTCAGTGGCTGAGCACTTTAAGGGAGCTTGTCGTCTTTGCTCATGGTTGGAATCTGCCTTTGGCTCTAGGCACCACAAACAGGTGTCCCTTAAGGACATAGTAATTCTGTATTTTAAGAGAAGACTTATTATTTGAGATAATTCCTGAACATGATACTTATTTAAGAGTATTGAAGGTAATTGCATGACTTCAAACAAAACTGAATTTTTAAGTGTATGCATATGTATACACGTGGCAATGGATTCAATATGTTCAGTTTGGGTTTTGTTGCTGTTGTCTTTTCTTTAAGGAATTAAAGAAAAGACTGCCATCCTTTTTGTATCAAGTATGGTGGAAATATAATTCAATTTTATTGTCAACTCCACTAGCCTGAAACCTTGGATTCAGATGTCTCAAAATTGGAGATATTGTCCTCTGATTCCCTGATAGCCTTGATAGCTTCTGACTTGGATGGAGAGATACCTTAAATCTTACCTATAGTGCACTTAGCTATTAAAACAGTGAACACACTCATCTCCCCTGTGGGTCACGTGAACCTATATTTTCCTTGTACATTTTAAATTTTTGCGTGGTCATGGTAGCATCTTCTGAATCTGCCTACCTTCCCTTTCTCCTTCCATAAATCTGAATCTGTGACTTTGACTGAGAAGTTATCTTTGAACTCCTTGTCTTAATGATCCACACATTCCAGACTTGCATGTAAAAAAGAAGTACTTGCATAAAAATTAATTCACAGGACAAGTGTTACAGCATTACAAATGAGGTAAGAGTTGGTTTAGTGAGCTTACCAGCAAAAAGGTCAGAAGATTCCAAGTTTGTTTTGGGTTGGTGTTGTTATGGGCTTTTTCCCAACAAATGTAAATGTTTCAAAAATTAGTTTTTGTACAGCATGAAAATGAAAACAAAGCCTTTTCAGCACTTTCACACAGCTACTGGTTAGAGGCCTGATTTGAGGGCACGGACTCAAGTCTCCTCTTCATCGTCAAAAAAATACTTTTCTTCATCCCCAAATCCTGACATTCGGAAACAAAGGGGCTTGAATTTTACTTTGTCCACAACGAAGCCAAAAACTTAATTGACTTGGTAGTCGTCCTTCTGCCTGTGTCCTTCCTCAGTTTAACAGATGAAGATACGCTTCATCATATTTTGATAAAATAAGCTTCAGGTCAGCTTTACTTACAGTCCTGTAAGTGACTCTCGGGAGTCTGACATCACATTCCCGGGAACTAGTTCCAAGTTTCTTTGGTTTGCTCATGAGCTGCTGAATAGATTAGCGGCATGGTTTTGTTAGGTGAATGCAAATGTGCCAATAAAAAGGAGCATATCGTTATTTCCTCTCCTAAATAATTCACTAAGCATTTTTATATTACTTTCTTCTGTGGGTTGACATCTTTATATTCTTTACTGAGTTTATTATAAGACTGTATTATCTTTTAAATAATGTATGTTAGTATGTGTGTATGTAAATGTGTGTGTGTGTATATATATATACACATGCACCCCCAGAGTAAGTTTTGTGTCACAAATCAAATACTATAATCTGCTCAGTTACACAGTGCTTTTTTTGAATTAGGGTCATAAATATTTCTTTACCAGACAAAAGCAATGTTGCATGGCAATACACTTTATTTTGTATAGCTTCATTCAAGCACATTGTCTCAAATACGTTAGAGATAACACACTTGCAGATTTTAAAATAATCTAAAAAGGTTTTAATTTAATGAAAATTTTAAACAACAATAGCAATATACATGCTCCTTAATTCACATGCATCATAAATGTAAATGGGCGATTACACCTGTAAGAGCTGAGCAGCTATTTACATTCTTGTAAATATTGGTTTGGTGGAGTGAGCTCTTAGTGAGGGGGATAGTTGGTATGTTTGTTCATTGATTCTGAAAGCACTGTGATGATTCTTTATAAAAAACTACATATAGATGTTTGGACTGTTGTTGGAGCAGTAGGAGGGACAACTTTTTTTGCTTGGTTTTTGGTTTTTTTAATTAATATGGGACTACCAATCCCAGTACAGAAAGGCAGCTCTACTACGAAACTGAAATTAGAGTAATTAATCTCATTATCATGGTGGAATAGTTGTATTTTACTAAAATTTCACAAGAGTGCTGCTGAGTCTTCCTGGTGAAACACTCAAGCTCCCTGATGGACTCAGCAGATGGCTGCTCACCGCCCCGCGTTTGATTTCTCCAGCAGACAGTTCCTGTAAAATGCATCGTGTTGTGCAGTATAAAGGGGTTTTTTGCTTGCATTTAAAGGCAAAAACATCTCTAAATTGTGTAATTTTTCCTTCACCTGCTCTGTGCAGCTCTATCGTAGACAGAAGGGCAGCTCCTCAGGCTCCACCAGGGTCACAGGCAGCCACCAGCGATTCCTGTTCTGGTCAGTTTGCAGTGCTGGATTATCACATCCCCACGCAGTGGGTGTAGTGAGCTAAAGTGCTTCAAGAAATCAGACGTGGGATCTCTGATACTACTAAGCAAACAATACTTCTTTGCCCCTCCCTTTTTAAGCCCCCCATTTACTGTACACACCACCTTTTATTATGTGCTGGTCCTTACGAAGAGCGTAAAAATGAAATAAATTGCCTTCATAGTTGCTTCGTTTTTGTGATTAAAATGGATTTTACTGGAGCTAATAAGGACAGAATGTAGCTCAGATTACTTTAAAAGTATTGATAAGACAGCTGCGTACCTGAAGAAACACCAGTTTGTCAGGAACAGAAGTCTGCCTCTGACCAACTGGAAGCCTTGTGGCAGCACCAGTGGCTGGCTGGGGGGTTAGGTAGGAGGAATGACCATTTCACATCCTCTGGGCCACTGGGCATCGGTGGGTTCCGATCTCAGATTCGTGCCATGATAAATAGTTTTTTCTGGTTTTGGAGGCAACCTTTGCAACTCTCAATACCTGTCTGAAGACTAAGCAGAAGTGCAGATAAAAAGAGTAATCTTAAGAAGCAGAGAATACAAGTTCTCTCGTGTGAACAGATGGATTACTCCCATCCCATTCCAGGCACTGGAAGTGGAAGGAGCTCTGCGATTCACATAAACTCCTCAATACCATGTCACATGTGAGTATAAACCCCACTGCATTACATACTATCGAGTTTTCCCTTCCAGATTTTTTTGAAGAGGAAATATGATGGAAGACATGATAGTTCAGCCTAGAACGTTACAGACTTTTGCAATCTACCCATAAATGACATGAGAGGACCTACTCTCTGCATACATAATTTATTACAAATTACTAAGTGCTGGGATAGAAAAAGCAATTGCCATACACAGTCATATTTGTGCCATCCTGTTAACTTTAATCTTACGTAGCTAAGACCTTTAGTTTCTGTTAGTTTCTCATCTGTTTTTTCTAAGGGGTCATCATCATTTTACCGTGTCTTTCTGTAAGACAGGGAAGGAAACTACAATTTTTTTCCATAGATTTGAAGTTCAAAGCTGTAAGCTAATGCTGTTTTCCATCATTCCAATGCCCCATGCCCATGGCTTGAAATATTTCAGATGCACCCTGAAAATAACAAAGTTTTAGGTAATTTTATATTCTCATCTTTCAGAAAGGGAGAACTCAGTTTTCTGGAATACAAAGTTCTTCAATCTCCTAGGGGCAAAAAGGCAATTTAAGCTTCCCGGAGCAACTTCAAGAGCAGTGATAGCTACCAGTGTTATTAAAGTATCATAGTTTTTCAGAAGATCATCAACTGTAATGACCTTCATATCCTGGATTTCGATTCAGAGGATGCTGACGCAACCTTATTAACACAGACAAATGTCTCCATCTTCACTTGTAATATCCCAGGGACACATAATTTAAGAACGTTATAATGCACAAATGCTGCTGTTACTAAGACAAAGGACAGCAGGGGAGATTAATTTCCATACAACGGTACCATTGATAAGGAAGAAAGGTGTGCAAGTGTTCAGGAAAGTTGTGGACATGGAACGATTAAAACTAACAGAAAAATATTCCAGTGGATAGAGTCAAAAAGCAGTTCTTTAATTTTAAAATTTGCACAGCAATAACCGAGACAAATGAGCCTCTGAAATATTTTGGAAAATGTCACTTTGCAAACCTTGTAGATTGCTTAAATGTTTATTAAAATGGACCAAAAGCCAAAATTCCCTGGGTAAAATAAATACTTTGTCTTTGCTAAGTAACAATATTTGTGAACAAAACATAAAACTATAATTTTCATGTGTCAAACACAGTAACATTTAAGATTAAATGTTGGAGTCAGACTGGGCATTTTTTTACATCTTCCTATTTACAAGCTGCTCATTAAGACCGTTTACCTCACGTTAGCTATTAAAATGACTAACATTTTTAAAGTTTGCTCCATGACTAAAATAAAAACAACAGAAATGTCCTTTTACCATAACTTAACAAGAAGCAGAACCATATTTTTGTTATCTAGGAGAACATACTGTTATAAATACAGCTGTTTTTCATCTACAGTTATATAAATAATAAACATGCTGCCATTCACAAGGATTTTAATAGATGATTATATATAAGCAATATTATGATCTAGCAGAGGATGGCATGAGTTTTCATCATTCATTTTTATTGTACTTATTCAGGACCCTTGTCTTCTTCTGAAAAATGTGGAACAGACTTCTTTGCAACAACATTATCCAGTCGCTGTCCTTGCAGATATGGGTTCACACTCTGAAAAAGTTTAAAATTATTTATACTTATTAGAACAGGGAAACACTAGCAGAGGATGGCATGAGTTTTCATCATTCATTTTTATTGTACTTATTCAGGACCCTTGTCTTCTTCTGAAAAATGTGGAACAGACTTCTTTGCAACAACATTATCCAGTCGCTGTCCTTGCAGATATGGGTTCACACTCTGAAAAAGTTTAAAATTATTTATACTTATTAGAAACAGGGAAACATATAAAAGGTAACTAGGATTAGTGGATCTATTTATATATTTATCTGTCAAATACTTGCAGACTGAAAAAAAAAACAAAATTGCTCCCAGGGAGTAAATCTAAACGTCAATCAATGTTTCTTCTTCTAATATTTTTTGTATGCAAGAATTTAATCCAATCCACTAAGAAGAATACAAGTGAAGGAGGACTATCAAGAATATAGGACAGTCTGAATTAAACACTGTCTTTTTGCTCTACTCCTCCTTTCCTCAGCTCAGCAGAGAAGCAGCAGCAGATCTAACTCCCTAATTCTTGAGGCAGGACAGAACTTGTTAGAGAAGTACAGGTAAGCTTTAGCTTAAATCACTAGCCTCTGAGGGACCTTATGCTGGGAGACAAGTTAGATACCACGATACCATTTTTGACCAAAGACTCTTCTTCAGCCCATCTCCTCTCCAGGAAACCCCTCCTCGCTTCCTCTCTTGATGCTGAGATAAAAAACTGCTGGCACAGAAGCAGAGTCAAGCAAGGTTTTGGCATAGGAAATGGCTCTCCTACCATTGCCAGAACAAGGGAATGCTGCAAAGATGATCCCCGGAGAGGGTTTAACTTCACTTTGTGCCATGTAAGCAGCACAACGTGAGACTGAAGATGAACAGATCCCGTCTCAAAACTGTTTGGAGATCATAGTAACGTAGAAAGCCTATGCTTGCATTTTATCTATACCCATGGAATAAAATGTATTTACTGTATTTGCAAGTATCAAGCAGTTTAGTGGAGCTTCAGAATTAAATATTATTTACACCCACTTTCTGGCCTGTTACAGTGTCAGTGTAAACAAAATTCAAGTATATACTTTCTCCTTCACAGATACAGACAAAATTCTAGTGTGCTGGTTTTTGATGCCAATAAAAATTGTTTGCCTAAGGACAAACTTTGGAGGAATGCAAATTTTCCAGTATCTCCTGATTCTTGTCAGGCTGGCTGTATCATAGAAATTACTTTTTTTGATATATTTCTGTGCTTCTTTCACCAAAATGTAGGAGTTCAAAACTACACAAAAAAAAGCTTTTAAAATAGGCATGAAATATCAAATATCCCAAGTATTCGTCAAATCTCTGGAAAAGATTTGGGGTTTGTCTGTCTTCAAGTTTAAGCCCTTGGGTTTCTCCAGATTTGTAGGCACTATCGTTAATACTTAATCACAGCGTAGAGCAGCCCTTTTGCTTTCTTCTATTGTTTTTTGAGTGCTTTGCCTGCTGCAAGTGAAAACATAAAAATATTAAGAACCAGAAATGAATGTGGAAAAATCGTTGAAAATAAAACTAACGCTAATTTAATGCTTTAAATTGTTAAAAATAAGACACATGTAAATGATTTGTGTTTGTTTAAAGAAGTTCTGTTTAATGTTAATTTAGTAAAATTCGGCCGTTGCATAAACTTCTAGGAATTATTTGAAGATTCTTAGGAAGATTAATTGGTCTTTTTTTTGCAATGATACTTGCTTGCTACTTTTTGAAATAAAGTAGAAGAAAATGAGAATACATAAAAATTTGAATCCTTCTCAACCGACAAAAGAAAACAAAACATAATGCAAAATTTTTGGCTCATTTGACTAAAAAATGTTTAATCCTACAGCTGTGCTCTGAATTCAAAGTAATGTCGTTCCCAAGTACCTTTGTGCACAGCTCCGAGCCCACAGCAATGTGACTCAGTGATTACAGAAGCACTCCTGTCATGTTCGGGATATTAGATTCTGGACAGGGCTATGCTCATGCATAGAAATTAAAAAAAGGGGAGAATTGCTAGTTAAATCAGAGGTCGCTGGAGGCTTCCTTGTCTTGCACTGCAAAGACTGCAAAAAAATAACACAGTAGCAAATGGTAAATACATGCTGATTATGTGTATGTATGCTTGTATGTGTGTTTATATACATATATAAAAATATATGAATATAAACACACACTTAGAATATGTAGTTTTGTAGACTCCAGTAGTGCCTCTGTGACTGTTACACTATAGCTTCATATAGACACAACACAGTTACTCTCCATGGACAACCCAATTCTACAAATAGGGCTTGCTTTAAGCTAAAATTGGGACATTCTGACCCAAAAAGACCAATCTGTTGCCAGAAGCTGTCCTCCCTAAACTCTCTGTCTGTGCAGAAGGGCATGGAGGAGTGGCAGGGACCGCAGAAGGCAGGAGGGGAATCCAGTGGGCTTTTTGGTTTCTGGAAAAATACACTCTGCTGCTGACAGCTCTACGTTACCCCTCTGCTGATAAAGTGAAAATTCTGAATTGTTCATTAAAGCATTAGTATATAAATTACAGTATTACTCTCAAAACAATAAAATACTTTAAATGATAATGAATTTAGCATTATGTGACATGCCTGTGCTAAGAAAATAAATCTGCTGCAAAGCAAGAAACTGAAGCTTCACTCCAAAATTCTGGGCTACCCCCGGCCATGTGGCTGTCATGTCTCTCCAGCCATTATTCCTTTTGTATCCGATTACGTCAGTCAGCACACAGACAGAAAATCTATTTTTTTTTTTCTCATGTATATATTGCACTAATCCTACTTTAACATGCTGTTCTAGCTATTAATAAATATTCCACATAACTATTTCCAGAGTAAATTCTACTTAGAGTTAGAATCAGGTGCCTACCCTTTTTCCTTCTCTGCTAACAAACTCAAAAAAAGTAAGTGGGAGGCAGATACCAAGCTCAAGATAGCTCACTAACTTATGGTTGAACAGTGTTTATTACCAGTGATATGTGAATCGGTAAGAAATCAACTCATCTTCTCCCTTTCTAGCAGACTTTAGGAAAGTGAGTCAAATAAATAAATAAATAAATAAACAAACAAACAAACAAACAAATAATCATCTTCACTTACACTTCAGTTATTTTAAACCAAATTTACTTCATTTACAATATAAACTGTGCTGTCATATTTTGAAAAGCTACTTTCTGGCAGAGAGTTAGACTTTTTCTTCTTGTAAAAAAAATACACCAGCAGCAAAGCTCAAGACTTCGACTCTGCCTTACAAGTGATTTTTTGATAAAAGAAAGGCTGACACTACCAAAAAAAGAGAGAAGATAGTGAGGTGGACTGTGCAGAGGTTCTCTGCAATATGTGGATTGCCTTCCTTGTTCAGGGGCAGAAAGACGAGAACCCATTCATCTTTGTCTTTCAAGCAAGTGGGTCAGAGAGATAGGAGTTTAATCTGAGGTAAATCTAAGTATGTAAATGAATCAAATTACTTCAGCTAAAGGACCAGTTCTACTGTCATTTACACCCAAAACCACAGTCACATGCATGGGTAGTGGTAATTAATTTTACCAGTATTTTCAGTAGGAAACGTTTAAATTCTGTTTTAAAGACATTTAAATAATTTTAAACGGTTTTATGCAAATAGGATCAATTTAGAAACACAGATAATATAAGGTTTTTAAATTAATGCTCTGCATTGAAGTGCATCTTCTGAAAGCAACAGGCTATTCAGAGAAATACATCTCGTACTCGGTGGACAGTCCTGAAGCCTGCCGTTGTAGTTTATCACAGAGATTCCCTGACTTTACGCGTTACCTAAGGTATAATGCAGATGCATTAGACTAACTCTTCATTTCAACAGTATGATTTTAATTCTTATTAGCTCTCTAGATGATACAGGGGCTATAAAGTATTCTGATAGTTACCCTCTTTCTTCTTTTTGGACCACCATTAATCTTCTCAAAGAGTAAATTCTTGCTCTGGAAGGGGAAAAAAATGCAGCCATCAAATTCATTACACTCTTCCTTTAAAATACTACTTTCACTGTTAAATATTAGCAAGTTTAGAGGGATGTGTACTTTTACAAGAAAGATAAAGCACAAATAAATATTTGGATATTCTTGCTAACATTTTGCAGTTCTTCAGGAGCAGTCACAGTCTTTTCAGCAATTAAAAAGCCAGTAATTTTCCATTATGTTGCACTATATTATCGTCCGTGTTCAGGCAGTAAGTGCTTCAAGTACATGCTGGTATAATGATATAGACTGGATGTTCCCATTCACGTGATACATGATGTAAATACATATATATTTAAAAAAAAAAAAAGACAGAAGAAAAAAAAGAAAAGTAAGAGTGGAAGGGAGAGGAAGCAGGAATCCTGCCTCTGGTACACCTTTCTATACATTTGAGGTGACACAAGAACAGGAGCAAAAAATATTTCCTTTACAAGGGATTTTCTAATTCCTTTTAAAAACGGCAATCGGCGTCATTCCTACTGTTTTGTTGTCTTTGCTTATTCCCTTCCAGATATCAACACTTCCCAGCGCAAAGTTCTGCTGAAAGGAGTTCAGCACTAACGCTTCCTTTGTTTAAGTAGTGCTCTCAATAAAGTTTCTAAAAACCATGTGGTCTGTAACATTTTTAATGGTGAACCTTTTAAAAACTGCCAAAAACATCTTGGCAGAAGAGAAAGTTATGATGATGAGAAAAGGAAAAAAAAACACACCACCACCAAAAAACCCCCTCTGACCATAGTTTACATAAGTCCATCCACATATTGTTGTATTTCATACAAGTAGTGAATTCTAATAAAGTCTGGAATAACACACACATGCTCAACACATTTTGTTTCAATCGTGTATTATGAAGAAAAACAAAACCAAACCCTAACCTGAAAATGGAAAGAGAGAAGAATTACATGTATAAAAGCAGAACACTGTATAAACAAGGCCATTAATTCTGCTATAAACAACTGACCTAACGTTGATTATATAAATAGAAAGTGTAATTCTAGCACGAGACAAATTCACCAAACACTTCTACCCTCTCTGCAGCCTTGATATGAGAAAAAACAAACATTTTCAAGTGTTACAATGAAATCTGCCAAAATTGTCTGTTTTGTACTTCTCATGTTCGTTAAACCCCAAATTCACAAGGCCTATCTCTTGCCCAACCTCAGTTATTTTGTCTGAGCTGTGCCAAAAGGGAACAGAGATGAAGTTGTCCAAGGGAGACATTCTTGGCTAGTTATTTATGCAAACTCACTTAGGGAAAACTTAATTTAACATTTTAAAGAAACCCATGGATGCGTAAATTATTCTTTTTAGGAAACAAAGCACCGCCAAAGCCTCTCTTTGTAAACTATTTGACCTTACACTTCTCACGAGAGGAAAAATAGTGTTTCTGAAATAAAAAGAATTTCATGACTACTGGAGCTAACATTTCTGTCACTCAGGAAAATTCCTTACAATTGAACTGTTCCTGCTCAGGAAGATCATATTTTGTTTAGTCTTTTGGGGAATGTTTTAAGACTGTAACTACTACTGAAGCATTATGTGGAGTGCAAAGCAAACGAGGTTATGGAGCATAAGCTAAGAGTGTGCTTGTACGGTAATAGCAATCCTGAAAATATGTTCCACTGCGTAAAGGCCTGAGCTCATCAGCCACCAAAATTTGCCCGTGAAGTGCTCACCATTCTCATCCCTCACCTAGGACACATTAGGAATGAAGACACAGAGTTTCTCCAGTTAAAGATACACCTCATCTGGAGACGTGCTGCACGTGAATTGCTACTTTCCCCTCACTCCTGGAGCTTCCTTTGCACCCTCCCAGCTACTTGGATTAGGGTATTACAGGTTGGAATTTGGGTGGAAAAAACTCAGAAGTGAAAGTGCTTACAACCAACTAATGCCAGAGAGATTTACCCTTAGATGTTTCAGACTGCACTGAAATTTGTTTAAGTCAGTAAAAATCAGCAGCTCTGTAATCTGGACCTGCACAATTATCAAGCAAAACTGAAAAGGAAAATTGCATTAGCAAGGTTGCACCCTTTCAGGAGGGCTTTTTTTTCAGTCAGTTTACAGTCGCATCAGGAATATCAAGCATGACAATTTCTATTACACCAAACATGTTACACTGAATTAAACAATCTGTATTTACTGCCTGAAATTGAAGAGGGGTACAAGACCTATCATAACCCATCCTAATAATCACCATTGTCATCCAGCTATTTAAAAATGTCAGTTGGCAAAGAATGATGCACTTAATGTTGCTCACTATAATTGAAGTTGGAATAAAATGAAATTTATGAGAGACTAGCTTCAGGATCTCATTAAAATTAGGAAGCCAGAGATGGCAACTTCTTTAACAAGGAGTTGAATGTTTTTATCCCTGCTTCCCATTTGCCTTTCTTTGTACTGTCTTGGATCCCTCCACTGTAGCTGATAAGCAAAACTGGCGTTATTTGTACCCTGAGCGCGAAATATTATCCACTGCTTCAGTAAAAAGAAGTGTTGCTGAAAAACATAGTTGCTTTTAATTTTCCATTTGTATTGATACTGGTGTCAGAAAACACAGCTGAACTTCCTTCCTCTTTTTAACCCCTACACGTGGTAATGGTTAACACTTTGGGTTTCAATAAATACACCACTTACGTATAAGTGGTTTTTAGATTTGTATTGTAAATTGTGTACTGTAAACTATCTTCGTGCAAGTCTTTCTGGATGCCAACAACACTTCTTCAGACCACCTAAAGAGTCAAGTTACAAGATGCAGAAAAGGCAGACTCAAATGGAAAGTACCTGTCTCCTGCAAGGAAAAGTCTGAACTGAGGGGAAAAAAACCTCCAAAACCTCTGTGGCCAGAAACAGCAGAAACTATAGTTGCACGCTAGGGTAGAGACCTCCAAAAGTCCCTCACCTTACTATTCCTACTGTCCCCTCTACATTTTCCACATATAAAGAGAAGAAAAAGAGTCTTCGGGGCTGGGAAGGAGAGTATAAGCTCTGTATCTTGCCCTATAAACAGAGCCTGTTCCCGAGACTTCCCACATGTCAGCATACTGATATATGGAGAGTTCTCCCAAAGACAGGAAAAGCCTTCCTCTTTCTTCCCTCTCCTAACCCAGTATACATTCATCGTGATTTATATATTCATATCTTCACATGTATTAGCAGTATTTACACATAATATTTAGCATCTACAGAGAATCATACACTTTGCTATATGAGACAGCTTCTAGACTTGTTTTACCCTTATAAAACGTGTCTGCTATTCACAGGGTACTGCAGAGGTCCCACAGCTTTGCAGGCATGAGAGTCTGTCACCAAAACAAACCAACCAACCTGTTTCTTTCCCACTACTCACGAACAAGCAGGTCTTTTTTTTCTGACCTGCTAATCTAATTTGGGGTTTACTGTGGTTACGCTAAGGAATGCATGCTGGCTCCTTGAAAGGACAAGTCAGTGGGAACTGTAACACTGCCTCAACCGCTCTGTGGCAGGAAAAGGCAGGGGAGAAGCTCGCCCGAGAGCTGCGAGCACACGCCAGCTCGCACGGGTCCAGGAGACACACTGACTCCGAGGGCTTCAGATGGTGGTTTCAGCCTAGCGCCTTCACAGCACACAGGAGTTCATGGAAATGCAGTCTGTAAATACACAGCCATTACAACCCCCGGGGCGCTTGGTCCTAGGCTCTTCCACGGGAGAAGCAGGAAGGGGCTGCTGGCGGGCAGAGGGGATTTTGGTGGCTGGGGGCAGTGGGAGGATGAGGATGCACACAGTTGCCTGCTGGGCAGCCCACAGTCGGCGTGTCGGTCAGTTACGACCTAATCCAGATGACAGTAAGTGACCTAAAAGATCTGATCTACTTTAGCTGTTTGAGACTTTATAAAGGAGAGATAATTTTTAGAGTGCTTTTCTGCTCTTATTTTTCCAGAGAGAAAAAAATAACAAAACCAGCCATAAAACCAGATACCGTTGTATTTATCTTTTTAATGTATAGTAACATACAATGAGGAGGCAATCAGGGCAATTCTCCTGGATCTCGGCAGAACATTTGCTCGTGCACGTTACCAGCTGTTTCATCTCTAATTAAAAAGATCTGGAGTTGGCTATGCTGCAGCTAGATATGATTACTGTTTAGTACCTAACAGTCTGTTTCAATCCATGCGTGAGCAGTTTTTTCCCCTGAATTAGTAGTGATGGATGGAGAAATGAAAAAAGGCCAGTATTCACTAATGATTACCTACCATTTGTTAAGTATATGTTGCTGATGACAATGCAGTATGTACACTTGATTCTGAAATATTGCTATAGGCCAAAGATTTACAGAAGTGCTTTTATAGTCTTCAAAATGGTATTATGAAAGTAAATTACTCATGAATAATAAGAAAACTAACAGCATTATCTGGCATAAATAAGAAAGTTCACCATCTGGTGTTTTAAAATGAAAACCTTTGATGGTAATTACTTAGAATGCAACAAGAGTTTCCAAAATTTGGATTTTTGGCATGATTCTCTCTAGAAATTTAGCACTCACGTAAGTAATTAAGACTATAAATCTTACACTGGTTTGATTATGAACGATGAATCATTGTCTCACAATTACAGCAGGAGAAGAGGCTGCCAAACGTGTCCATTTATCGATATATGCTTACAGAGCACCGGTTTAAGGCAACCTTAAGTAAAGTGCTATAACAATGTAAAATGAGATTTCATTATTTGCTCTAGAGGCATAAATTATGATCATTGTTATTGTTTTCCTGGCGCCTGAAGATGGATTTGGGATTGGACATTTAACTGATGTAATCTAAGATTAAGCGGCCGAGCTCTCTTTGGAGCCTCTAAGCCTGCAGAAATAGTCTAGCTGGAGTTATTAAAGTCCTTGTACACTCAGAGCAAGATTTTTGCCCTTAGTATAGCTGTATTTATTATATGCAATGCGTAAAATAGGTTTTCAATAAAATATAGTGCACAACCTGAATAGAGGAAGAAGCAGCATCAAGTCCTCTAAAATCCTTAAAGCCAGAGAGGACTCCTTAGAGCAAGTTGCCCGGACCCAGATTTTTTAAGGTGTTTAGGCACTGCGGCACTCCATTTATTTTTTTTTTAGCATCTAAGTAGCTGAACAGTGAATAGTCACTGAACCTGGATAATCTTTCAAATTAGGGCCCTGTTATGTTTTGAAATCTTGTGCTAAAATCTGCACTAATTTTGGTTACATGTTCACTGTAGTTTGAAATGTGGTTTGTTGCATTTATCAAGCACATACGTAGTTGTCATGCTTTGGGACAAGGATTTCTACTTTCTATTTTTATGGGCTTTCATCACAGGCATTATTTCTGTATTTTTAAGGGCAAGTTCACCTTTTTGAGAAGTTTCCCTTAGGGTGATAATTTTTCCAGCAATAAGCACAGTGTTCTCCTTGTGGTTTCACAGTATCCCACGCAGCAGACAATACCCAGTTTCACATGCTACAAAAATAAGCAAGAAGCACATACTCACCCACTTGCCCATGTTGGGATAGTCATGCTCTGGATCAAAAAGGTGTTGGTGCAGCTGGTATTCCCTGCTGAACTCTGCTGTGTCTGGGGTGTTTTCTAGACACCCATCATCAACTGCAAAAGTATGTTAGAAAGCACTGAGTGCTTAGTAGCTTTGAAACACACAATATGTGCCACATTAATTAGCAAACTTCTTAAATGCAATTATGCAATTTAAAAATAAAAAAAACATTTAAAGAACTGGATGACTGGAAAATATCAGGTATTTTTTTCTTTTGAAAGGAGTTTGTCAGGATATATTTAATTAAAAAAAAAAAAAAAAAAAAAAAAAAAAAAAAAAAAAAAAAAAAAAAAAAAAAAAAAAAAAAAAAAAAAAAAAAAAAAAAAAAAAAAAAAAAAAAAAAAAAAACACCACTACTCAATGAAACTTCAAAACTAAACAAATTTATTTTCCAAGCTCTCCCTCTCCTTTTTGTTTTTCTTTTGAATTAGTGATTGAGCTTGACTTTACATAGAACTGCATGCTATTCTGATTCAGAAGGGATCCTCTTTTCATCTTTAAATGCCCACAGGAAGTTGTAGAAATTGTTTAGGCAATACTTTTGAAGCTCATGGTAAAACGATGCTGTGAGCAAAGACAGAATTTCCTTCACTGGGTAGCTCTTCATGGAAATCCATTTCTGGTTCGCTACTTTGTTCAAAACGGCTGCAAATCATTTACACGTCATAAGATCTCATAAAAATGCAATGTGGCAGAAGTTTTATGCTGAAGACATTTCTGCAGATTGGTAACTAATCTGATGGGTCCAGCAACCTCCTTTAATCACAATGGATGGTTTTGCAGACAGTATCACATCAAGGATAATACCCTTTTAAAGATCAGCTTATGGACTTTTTACCAAAATAAGTCATCTTTAGATTAAACAAAGATTCAGCAACTTAAGGCCAGAGTAGCTCATTGGATAAAGCCTGCTCCTGGAGCTCCCTCTGCTTTGTCAGCATGGGGAGCTTGCATTCCAAGTTCCTCTCAGACATACCCAAGGAGATCCTACCACCTGGGGCATGACGCTGGGCATCCAAGCAGCTACATCTGCCAGAACACAGACACTCCAGAGGACACACCTGTGGACTTTCCCTTCTGTCCTTGTGTGATCATCATGTAAAAAGATTTGCAGATGGATTATCTTTTTCCCTTAGATGTGGGAAACAGTAAAGATGACTTAAAAATGAGTTGATTCAATGACCTGAGGAGGTTATTCTGAGTCCAACAGATCCTGCTTTCTCTCTTTTCTCCTTAGAATGGGGAAAAAAATAAAGTTGCTGACAGGAAACAGGGGAAAACTAACCATACTGTCTAAGTAACTCAAAAACTATTAAAGTTAACTACAAGCACTTAAAAATTATTTCAGTCTCAGCAGGGACAGGGTCATCTCAAGAGAGAAGCAGGTCACAACAGAAATGTGGTAGACCTTCTCAGAGCATCTGTGTCTTTTGGTAGAAAACACAAAGGGCAGCTGGACATACGTGTGCCCTCTGCGACTGCTAATCCAAAAGTCTTCAAGCTCAAGTGCTCCAGGCTTATGTATTCCCGCCGTGGAATGTGCATATGTAGACAGTGACTGGAAAAATTGTTTTCCATTAAGCAAATACACAGACCTGATTGAGGAAGGCCTCCAGTAATTTGTATGCATAATACAGTCACCACTTGAATTTCCATTTAAGGCTCTGAAAAACATTTTACTCTAATCCTAGTAGATACTATCTTTACTCACAGCGTACCTACGACAGAGCCATTTATCTGAGCAGGCAGCACTTCCATAAGAATTCGCCCTGTGTTCAGATCTGACTGTATTAGCTTAGCTAACAACTTTTATTTCACCTAAGAAAGAAAAATTGAAGGGATTTTCAAAGGCATTTCTCTGTATGCCAGGTTTTTAATTTATTTATCTAATCACTAACAAAAGTCTAATGGGCAAGCACAGAAGAAAAAAAGTCTCTGTGTGTGCTTGTGTGTGCAAGAATACCTAAACCCATCATTTGCAACCTGTCAGACCACAGCTATATTGAACAAAATGGAAGGTTAGATATTATTTCAGAACAGATGCAGGCATCGTCACCAAATGGGCTGTAGTAGAAAACAGTAAGGGAGGACTATTTGAAATTCTGTCCTCTTTTTGAATGAAATGTAAAAACAGTTTGCAAAACTTTTAATGACAAATATTTATTATTTGATCAATTCTAAGCTAGTTAGAACATTTTTTAAGAAGAATACAGACGACTGTTTTGCATTATCCAAATAACAGAAAAGAAGACTAAACAGAAAAGATTTTGAAAGGATCTCTTAGCTCACAAATAAAAAATGAGAGAAAAATAGAGTGCTCATTCCCAGTTCCAGCTCCCAAGGCAGCCAATGGGTGTTTTACTACTACTTTCAGTACTGGAAGTCATTCCTTGGCTCAAATAACAGGAAAAAGATCAATTCCCTTAGGGTATGTCTATATCATGCACATGCAGTGCTGCTTTAGAGATCCTTCAGCACTAGCCACCCGCATGGCTTGGTATATGCACAGCTGCAAGCTAAGGGACATACCAGGTGTCTCAGGTACCGTACCACTCTGGCACTCCAAGGCTGCACTGCTCCTCTGTCAGAGCGAGCCTGCGTGCAATGCATTGGGGTACATCCACGTAGTTCTCCATTTCTTGGCACAGATGCACCCTCAGTGAGCTATAAAGCCACATGGATTGGAGCCAAGGTATCTTAAATATTGACTCATGGTCTGGGTTGGAGATCAGGGCAGACAGTTTCATTCCTCTTGGCACAATGAAAGTCTCTAAAATAAGGGTAAATCTCAACTGTACAGAATGATAACTTTTTTCAAGGGCCAGCCTAAAAATGAACTCCCTCAGAAACAAGACACTATCATAGATCTCACTGTCTTCTACTCCGAGATCAAGATGATTTCTTCCACCTGACCTTCTCTAGCAGTCATATAGCAATACAGAAGGTGCACATATTAAAAATAAAATCTCATCTAAAACACCTGATTGCTCAACTGTTCTGCTCCTGGGGTAGAGAATGAAAGAAAACACCTATATGCTGATCAACTGTCGTACTGCCTAGTACAGCGCTGAAAGACTGAAGGATGCACAGTGAAGACAGAGGTGCAAAGGCTACAGCAGAATTACCTGTTTTTCCAATAGGGCAGGGATTTGGAGGGTCAGGATATCCTTGATCTTCACCGAAATCCTTTGGTACATTATCTCCTGTCAGCTCAGCCACGATGTTTGGGATATTGCCATAAGGACCCAAGTGCTGGAGACCCTCATGCGCACCACCTAGCAAAGACAATTTACACACACTGTCTTTTTACAAGTTTAAAAGTGTAAGTGCTTTAGTTGCTTCAAATAATCCAGACTTAGATTTAAAATATAAATAATTGTTATAGAGACAGATCCAAGTTTAGATTTCAAATGTCTCTTCTAGAGACCCTGTGACCTAAATCAGATAACTTAGGTAATGAAAAATGAAACTAGGAAACAAAATGAGCCACTTATTATTAATCTTAGGGTTGTTTTTTTCCTTAACTATGTAAGTAATAAAGTATATAATAATATACTTTATAAAATATAATAGTTTTACTATAATAAGAAAAAAAATGCAAAGAAAAAGAAACATGAGACAGTAATGGAACTTAATACATTTACTGCACCATCATCTTCAGTCACTGATACTTTTCATTGTAGCAACTAATAATTGAAGAAGATATGGCAAGACAGTATCATGGCAAGAAGACAAAGTTAATGACACTGTAGAAAGAAATAATACTATTTGCACAGCCTAGAAATATATTAATAAATTAAGTCATGTGAGGGGGACCCAAGATGATATAGCAAATTTGGTTGCATACAGCTAGGAAAATTATTTTTAAATCAAACCATTTCTTAAGCGCAAATTTGAGTTTCCTGCAGTAATGGTGAAAAGTGATTAAGAGTCCATATCGTTGATGGGAATTCTTGTGCATGTACACCTACACAGTAGTCATTACAGTACGAAACATCACATTCAGTGACTTTTATACTTTTACTTAATAGATCAGTTCTAGATGTAGGCATTTACATTTGCCCTGCGGGACTCGGAGCACCATCACTGCAGGGTTACAACAGCAGTGTGCAGCAGGTTTTATAACTCAGTGGCAGAGGACACGATGATGGGCTTCCTGTTCTTGCGCAAACGCACACAGAAATGGTGTGCTACAGCCTTCTTCAACGCATCTCAGCTTGGGCACCTTGCCTTTGACAAGTAGGGTCTGCCACTAAAGGTTTGGGAACCAAGCTCAGGCCATTCTCTCTCTGTGCCTCTCTACAAATATTTATCTGCTCCAGATCTTTTCTGCACGCATTACTGGCCAAATGCACCTACAGGCTAAAACCCAGCTGCTTGCGGAGTCTTCTAAATAGTAGTGTACAGTATTCTTTTGAATTTCAGACAAACAAAAACTTCGTTGCAAGCATGCTCTTTTTCCCTGCCATAAGACAGCCACCACACACACTGCAGCAACAGCTAATGTAGTTATTGAGTACCGAGATGGTTGTGTGACAGCAGAGCAACATTTTTTTAAAACCCTATATAATGAGGGATAACAACATACAGTCAACATACAAATTCCACTAACAATGAATGAGAGGAAAAGGAATTTGAATGATCGGAAAATGTGAGTTAAAGAGCGAATGCAGACACAACTGTTTGAGTAAATAGCACAATCACCATATTATCACCAAATAGTCTTATTTTCAATTTCTATAATTTTCATAGGTCCAAAAGATTGGAATAAAGCTTCTGAACATGAAAGTTACTCCAGAAGAATCATTCAAGTAACACCTGTCCCAACTTACAAATAAATACTACCAGCCTAAATCATCTTTTATACAGCTAGGCATTGTAAGCTAACATAATCACGTTCAAAAATTGCTAACATAAGGCAGTCTTGACAAATTTTGTATTCATTTCTACATTTAGAAATGGTAGTTGAGTCAAATTGTCTATATTTTGCAAATAATCAGTTGGAAGCTGGCATCGTAGTACCAGAAGCAAGTCAGTCTATAAGCATATATATTCCAATTTTATTTGCGTGATGGACTAAAATCTAATCAACATGCTAATTTTCCCCCTAAAGTACCAGTTTCTTATTCTGTAATGCAATGTTGAAGGAAAGTTTAACAGATATGTACCAAACACAGAAGTAGCCCTATAAAAAATTTGCATCTGTGTTATATGAGGTTTTCCCTTGTAGCTGACCACGAGACCTGGTACCAAAACCAGAATAGCATTACACACACTATGAACTTTATTATACATTTACAGTCCATAGTCAACACAAAGAAGATGCTTGTAAGAACTGTATAGATTCACAATAATGCTATGGTGATGAAGTTAAAAAACTTATCACATACATTTAATCTAACGTCATTTAATCTAACATGTAATGTATAGCATAAAATATTTCTTTTGTACTGAGCTCCTTCACATGAAGATTGATTGCATATACGTACTTAAAAGCATCAGGTTATGATTCTGCTGTAAACTACAGAACCACATAATCAACACGTGTTTGAACATCCTGTATACAATGTGGTTCACTATGGGACAATCCATCAGATAGGAGCCTATCTACGCTTGTATGTGGTGCAGACCTCTTGGCACCGAAGCTCCATCCATAAAGAAAACAGAGGTACTTAGCAGGTTCCAGTGTGCTATATATACATGTAAGTTTAAACCGACTGCCAAGAATTCCCTTGACTGAGTACAAAACAATCTTTTTATATTAATATAAAGGATTGTTTCCTTTAGGTATAAATATCCAGGATCGTTTAAGGTTTTTTCCTTTCTTTCCAAAAGAGCTGGAGACAATAGCACCTGCTCTGGTGCCATAATTTAGCACACTTGAGTGATTTAATAGCGTCAGCAAAGCTCATTCCTTAAAGTTCTGATAAATAGTGCACTCAGTAAAGACTGCAATAATAAAAATGAAATGCTATGAATATACCAAATAGGGGTATTACGTACAGTAATTCACAAGCTGCCTTAGTTTTGGTATTATAATGCTACTGATTTGAAGAAACATATTAGGCATAAATACACTGCAGCTACCAAGTCAAAATATTGTTATACAAATGCAGTCAGCTACAAAAATAGCACAAGATGGGTCTCTTGAACCTTGAGGCAGAGACTGAAAGAAAAAGACAACACTACTAAATACCGAGGAACTTTTTGTAATTTCCTATCCAAGGAAAACATTAGAGATACCATTGTTAAATTATTTAAAACTGGACTAGCAAAAATCTAGAAGAGTAGTACAGAGAACACCCTTGTACTGAGAAAGGATGGGCTAAAGAAAGCTATGTTTTTCCCATCTCTCCTTACTTCTTGTATGAACTGGTTTTTGTGTGCCACATACTAGCAAAAAAACCCCTCCAAAACAATCAGCTCCCTTTCATGTGCAGGATTTCTGTGTGAGCATGTAGTTATTTTACATCCCTACAGGATAAACTAGAAGTTTAGCTCTTTTGGACTGAGGTCAGTATTGTCATAAGTAAGCTTTGGATTTCATCTAAAATATATGCATATATGTAACCATCTTCTGGCACTGGTCTTGTGGAAAGGCAGGGTGGAAAATAAAAATGGAACAATGCCTCTCCCCTTTCCTATAATTCTGGAAAAGTCTTTAATCATCTCACCAACTGCTGGTATCATCTCAATTAGAGATAGTTGGAATAACTAAAAATTTAAAATGCACGCATTTTAGCTCATTTCTTTGTGGGAGCAATACTGTCTCCAAGGGTGGGAGGAAAACACCACCGCTCCGTTCTTGGAGAAAAAAAAAGAAAAAAAGGAAAAGAAAACACAAAGAGCAACTAGTTTCCTGCCAGTATTGAATATTCCCCTGATCAAACACGTCCAATGGAAATGCTGTTAGTCCACTGAAGTTCTAGTTGCTGTTACCCATCTATTGGTAGCGTAAAGCACAACTGAAACAAATCTGCTCTCAGAAGCAATCCTCCACATCAAATACAAATGGGCAATGCTGCCCCCCAGAAAAGTCATTTTAAAAAAGTCAGTGAGAATGGATTTTCATAAGTGTAAAATGATTGCAGAACATTTGAAGACAAACAATGGGACAAATTTGCCGTTCAGTCTGATTGGAACAGTTTCCCACGTCACAGTGTAGATAGGGTTACATCACTTCCAAACTCAGGAAAGAGGTGGTTTGGCCAATCTTAGCAAGAAGATGCAAAATAGAACGGATCACAAATATCTGTTGTGAGAAAATAAATCCCAGATCCCAAGTTAAAGCCCTTTACTTAGAGAGTCATGCTAGATGCCCTAGTTTTCATATTTTTGCTTTTAAACAGAGGAATACTCCCCCTGAGTAAGAACTGCACCTCTTATGACCTTGAGCTGTACAAACTCCAAGCAAATATGAGCTGCAAGAGAAGCCTGGTATACCTTATCCCATTTGTGTAAGACTCCTGAGGGAGTAAATAGATATTAATCAGAGATGCAATACCATCTTTGCTACTTTGCAAAAATCTTTTGTTAATCTAGGCTATCAGTTCTTATCACTGGGAAAAAAACTTCAAAATTATTTCCAGTGTGTCCTCTCCGATACAGACATAGCTCTTTTTCCTTTCATAATGACAGCTTTCCATACTATCCCGCACTTCTGTCCCCAGTCATCTTGCCATATCTACCTTTGCTGTGTCGTTTGCTTGTCGCATTCAAAAGTGATGTCTCATCCCTAATCAAAGGCAAGTTTGGCAGAATGCCTTCTGGTGCTCTTGTATCTTAAAATGGGACACCACCCACTAACTTCCTTTTTCCTTTCCTTCATTATCTGCAAGACTCCCCACCATGTAATCTGATTAATTCAAACTGTCAAAAAAATCCTGAATGCAAAAAATGCATTTTCATTTTCCTTACCCTTTCTAACATCACTAAAAGCTTTACAGTCCCAGTGCCATTTCGCCCCATGCGTCTTCAGCTAGCTTCATCCTAGAGAATCCTATCCTGGTTGCTGAGATTGATTAAGATCAGGAAATGAGAGGCACTGAAAAAATTATAAATTATCAGATTTTCTCTGTTCCACAGAAGCTGCTAAATAAGGGAATAGGGAAGGAGAAAGAGCATAGGAGAACCAAGAACAGAAAAATGCAAACCTAGCCAACTTCCTTAACCATTGAAGAGCATGCCTCGGGAAATCCAAGAAAACTACAGCTATACATACTCAAGCATCCCAGATTCCAGAGTCAGCTTGTCTTCTCCTTAATGACACAAAGTT